GGAAATCGCTATGAGTCTTTTCTGGTTATACTGTAAAGAGCCCTGAAGTCCACACAGCAACGTTTGGTTCCATCCTTCTTCTGGACTAATATGATAGGAGCTGACTAGGGACTATCTGATTTCTTGACTATCCCTTCCTTAATTAGACCATCCATGACCTTCTCTATCTCTTGTCGCTTTGCTGGAGCTATTCTCCTTGGAGGGATCTTTATTGCACGGTGATTGCCTGTGTTTATTCTGTGCTCTACCAGGTTTGTGCAGCCGAGGTCATGATCTCCTTTCGAAAAGACTTCTGCATAATTTGCCAAAAGTTCTTTTACCTGAAGAGCCTGTGATGATGCCAAATGGACTATGCTCTTCTTATAGAGGTCAGTCAAATGTTCTGGAAGTGTATGTCCTTTCTTTACAGTTGTATTCCTTGCTTTAACATTGACTGGCTCTACCTCCTGGCACACACCCAATAATGCCCCTTCCTTAAGTGCCTGTTCACATTTAGAGAAATTGGCCACTGTTATAGGTACTACTTGATGACCTGCCACAAGTGACCTTCCAATCTTCAAATCCGCTAGCCTGGGTGGTTCTTCCACTGCTTCTACAAGCATTGGGCTTCTATGGGGATGTTCTTTTATCCTACCCCAAATTATCTTCTCTGACATCGGGGGTATTGTAGTTGACTTAAGTGCTGTTACATGCAAATCACGGATGCAGCAACACTTACTGGAATCTGGCCTTTTTTGTTTCCAAACGTCATTTTATTGAAGTTAACTACACACTTCTTCGATAGTAAATAGTCCAATCCTAATATGTATTGGTCTTCAATGTCAGCCAAGTATACTTTCTGTCTGTTCTTCATGCCCATGAGCTCAATAGTTCCCCACAATGTTCCCCACAACCTTGCAGAATGTCTTGTCACACCACAGAGCTTCAGGTACTCCTTTGTTATCCAGCACCTTGATGCTCACAAGAGTTTGCTGAGATGCAGAATCTATGACAAAGTTGCACCTTTGGCCATCTAGCTTCCCTGTCATGTAGATACTATG